AGGTAAATGATGGAAGGAAGGAAGGAAGGGAGAGAGAGAGAGAGAGAGAAAGAAAGAGGAAAGGAAAGGAGGGAGGAAGGAAGAAAGAAATGGAGAAAACATCCTCCCTTCCTTCTTTTGGGAGAAAGAAAAGAGAGAAAGAAAGAAAGAAAAAGGAAAGAGAGAAAGAAAGGAAGAAAGGGCAGGATGTAGGCAAGTTCTGGGACTGGACCTTGGAACTTGCAATGAGAGAGAGACTTTACCACCCCTAGGCCAGAAGGGCTAAGGAGAGGGAGAGAGAATAAATACTCAGACTCACAGAGGGCAGCTAGAAGAGCACCACAGCTACCCTGCAGGAGAAGAACCAGGAAAATAAGTGCATTCTATTCTCTCCTCTTCCATCTCATTGGCGAAACCCAAATGGAAGCCAGAGGACGGAGGAGCCCAATGACGCCATCTGTTTGCATCATCCTCCCAAGCACAGAACAGAGTGGAGAAGGGTGAGGGTGGGTCCGGAGGGTGAACAGCAGACACACAGCTGTTTTAGAATTATCTTTTCAGTCAAGAAGTCTCTGCCCCTCGCCCGCACACAGACATGCTCTCTCTCTCCCTAGAATAAATAAATAAATCTCTTTAAAAAAATCAACTAGGATAATGAACCTAAATGTCTCTGAAATTCGTGGCTGCTCGTGAAGTCACATGTGCATGAATCTTTGAATCTCACTAGCTCATTGAGGAAGTGAACAGACTTCCTATTCTCCCACGAGACACCCCTCTCCCCACCATTCCAGGGAGCCCCCAGAGCAGAGAAGTCTCACATGTACTTACAAAAAGCTGGCTCCACCAGACATGAAAATAGGTTTCCCCTTGTGGAACAAGCATCTCCAATTTTTTTTTATTATTTTATTTATTTATTTGACAGAGGGAGAGAGAGAGAGCACAAGCAGCAGAGGGAGAGGGAGAAGCAGACTCCCCACTGAGCAGGGTGCCCGATGTGGGACTCAATTCCAGGACCCTGGGATCATGACCTGAGCCAAAGGCAGAGACGCTTAACGACTGAGCCACCCAGGCGCCCCTCCAATGCCCTGTTGCAGGATAAAGTAAGCAAAGTGGGTAGAAAGAATGACTTTCTCTTCCTTTGAGTAGCACTTAGGAAGAAGATGCCCAAATGTTTTGGTTTCTCCCCTGAGTCAACTCATACGCACAGCTAAGGTGGCTCTCTCTGGAGCCAAGGATTCAAGTGCAAAGTCTTTATCTGAAAAATTATTCCAGAAATACCCAGTATGAACATTCCAAAAAGGAACATCCCACAAAGTCCCAGGGAAGGGACTCCCAGGAAAGTTAGTTCTGCCATGGGCAATGGGCTCGATCCCAGTGGACATCCTCTGAGTCTGTGGGACGCATCTCTGAATTTCCCCCACAGAGGAGCAAGGAGACTGGGGTATTTATCCATCAACTCCTATCCACCTCTCAGTCTTGAGGGCAATTCCTGCCCCACACAAGAGAAAGCCCCCAGGTAGAGAGTTTTTGGGGTTCTGAGACTCTGCCAACATCTGGAATGGTAAGATCCAAAGGGACACAGTGGCAGGCCCACTATCTATCCCCTAACTCACCTGAAATACCATAAGAGCAGAGAGTGGGCCATATAATTCCTCATTCTACTCCCAGCTAGTCCAGAATTTGGCATGCAGTAAGTGCCCAACAAGCAACCAGAGGCTAGATGAACATGCATAAAATAAACTTAAGACAATGATAAAAGAGATTGTTCCATCTCCAAAGATTTATCCAGAGGTGGAGAGAGAGGGGGGACATGTATTAGTTGTTTCCACAGAAAGCCTACTTCTGCAAACCTGATTGTCCCTGAGTTTAACACACACATAAATACACACACACACACACACCTCCAGTTTCAGAGCAGAGACGTCTTGCTTTAAGAAATCAGCACACCCCACATCCCATTGCCACAGTAACTGGCTGAGCAGTGGTGTTGAAGAGAAACTCCCCCCACTCCCAGGAAACAACTGGCCGTGTCTGGAGACATTTTCCGTTGTTGCAATGGAAGGGGGGTGTTGCTGCAAGCATCAAGTGGGCGGAGGCCGGGGATGCTGTTAAACATTTTACAATGCACAGGATCAGCCCTCAGAGCGAAGAATGATCTGGCCCCAAATGTTGATACGGTCAATGTTGAGAAACCCTAAGTTAGAGGACAGATACATGATCCAGTTGGGGCCAATACAAAATCAACCTCAAAACTAGAAGCTTCTGAGGGCAGCTGGGTGGCTCAGTTGGTTGAGCATCTGCCTTTGGTTCAGATCATGATCCTAGGGTCCTGGGATCGAGCCCCATGTCATGCTCCCCGCTCAGAAGGGAGCCTGCTTCTCCCTCTCCCTCTGCCCCTCCCGCCCCTCAGTTGTGCGCTCTCTCTCTCTCTCAAATAAATAAATAAAATCTTAAAAAAAAAAAAAAACTAGAAGCTTCTCAATTCTCTGGAAAGTGCAATATGGTCTATGCCCTTTGTCCTGATTTTGCTAACAGAGAAGGAGGGTTAGAGCTGTGTGGGGTGGGAAGAGAGATTAGGCTGGGTCCTAGTGGAGCCTGAGGGTGACACTGATGCCCAGAGAAAAATCTATACAGATAAAGAGAAATTCAGCCCTTGCTCACCTCGTCTGAGCCACTAGATCAAATCTCCCCTGAAGCTGGTCCTCTTTAGTTAAATGAGCTGTTAAATTCCTTTCTTGTTTAAGCCAATTGAGTCGGCTTTTTTGTCACTTGCAACCAAGGGCACTCCAAATGGATAGGGTAGGCAGTCAGCGAGATGTGAGTGGGGGACAAATGCTTTCCAACTGACCAAAAGGACGACACCGAGTTCCACGCAGCAGAGACAGCCCCGTGGGGGCATGGAGAGGATAGGCATGCATTCTCCCCTCCAACCACTGCCCTCCAGTAACCTCTAGCTTCATAATAATACATTTACCTTGCGGTTCTGACACCCCCTTCGGGGAAGGCTGCCAGGACAGTTCCACGAGGACCTTGGGGTGGATGGGGGAGGGGGGCCAACCCCCCACCAAGCCAACCAGTAGGAGGAGTCCCTTAGATGATGGGAGGTAGCCCCAGGCAGAGACCACCCAAGCTGTGTGCCGTGTTTTGACCTTACAAAATTGATGAAAGCAAAAGGGAAAGAAACCTATCATAAAGCAGGTAAGCAGAGAAGCTTCTTTTGAATCCCAGGCTTGTCTTCCTCAACCAACCCAGCTGCAATGCAGTATCAATTTGCAGAGCCCCCACTTCCATGATGATTGTCTCAAAATGGCTACAAATGATTTTGTACTGCAAAATAAAACCAAACTCCTGAAACCAGAGAGAGAGAGGTAGAGAGAGACGGCTCTAGCTATGACCTGTGACCCATGCAAATGGAAAAGCAAGACAACCTTGACCCCTCGTAGAGTTGCCACTTCCGGACCTGCCCACTCTCCCTTCCTGGGAATACACTTTATCTTTTACTGTATCAAACTCTTGCTTGAGGATTTAGTTCTCAATTCTTTCTCAGCCAAACTCAAGAACCAAGAACCGAGATCAGCGTAGAGGCAGAGAAGGGACCCGGCCAATGACAAAATGAGAGGATGAACGATTATCCCATCCTCCTTTCCAGGAGGGTCCCTGGTATAAACACAACGTCGTTTGGGGGCACAGCTGGTTGCAAGACATGGAAACCCATTCAAGCTGGTATGTGGAAGGGAGGATCCATTCCACAGTGCAGCATTGTCTCCAGAACCCAAGGGAGGATGAGGGAGAGGTGAGATTCCTGCAGAACCGGCGTTGGGCACTTAAGGAAGCAATGAATAAGGACCTGTTGAAGTCAATGGGTTGCATGCTCAAGCCACTGGAATGGACGCTCCATCTGGAACTGAGAGACGCCTCCAATGCTCCGGAGACATCTGAGTTCTCATCTCTGCTTCTGTCAGCCCCATTCTTCTGCTCTGTGTGCTCAGCTGCCCTCACCCCCCCAGACTGGCCACCCATATTTCTCCATCTGCCTGTGGCCTTAGAAGTTCCAGCAACTGACCGCTTTCTTAGCATCTCAATAAAAACCTTCAGGGGCAGGGGACTCTGATGGGCTCACCTCGAGTCAGGTGACCACCTCTGAGCCACAATCAGTGGAGTCAGCTGTCAAAAGCGGAAGCAGGGGCGGGAGGACAAGCTAAATGGCTTCACTCCAAGATGGCAGCTCACACACTGGCCCTGGAGATACGGAAGATCCACCGGTACCACCAACCGCGCCCCCCCAGACACAGACCAGTGACACGGAGTGTTAACTATTCCTTTATTAGGTGGTGAGGGGAGTGGGAGCTGTACAACACAAGGCCTGGGAACTTAGCTACACAGGGATTGTGGCCAGAAGCCACATTACAAAAATAGCCTAAAAATACTTCTATTCTGCCCCGGGGCTAGGCCAGGGGAGTACCAGGAGGGGGGGGTGCCACGCAGGTGGTTCCTTCCCTTCCTAGAGTCCCATATTTACAGGGAGACAAGATGAAACGCACACATCTCCCCCGGTCGTCCCGTTCTCACCAGCCACCCCCACCCAGTTCTCCAAGGGAGTAGCCCAGGCTCTAGGGTGGGGGGACCTGGGGTGGGCTCTGTGGGCCAGAAGGATCCTTCCCTGGCAAAGCTATAGAACAAGTTCCATATGGAATGCAGTGAAGTGAGGGAGGCGGGATAGGAAAAAGGCTCCCAAGTCTCACCCAAGCCCTGCCCCGGAGGGTACGTCCAAGGGTGCCTACGTGGTACACACCAGGGTTGTGTACTCAGTACACAGGATCCCGGTCATGCCTGTGTACTCGGTACACAGAATCCAGCTTGGCCGAATGGGCCCACAGACTCAGCCCCACGGGGGCACTGGGGGGTTTGCAGGGGCAGGGAGTGTCTCCATATATATATTTTGTAAAAAATAATAATAATAATAAGTTTGCTTAAATGAATTTGTTTCTATACAAAATGTAAAAAAAAAAAAAAAAAAACCATAATAATAATCCACTCGTGTCAGAGTGTAAGGACAGAGACCAGAGAGGGCGGGAAGGGAAGGCGGGGAGGAAGAATGGGGAAGAGGGGGATACAGGAGGAGGTCCCAGGCTCTTCACAAGGCCCAGAGGGCGGGGGTCAGCACACACCCCGTATAAATAAAGGAGGACTGAAAAAGCCTAGGCTGGTGACCCATCTCAGTCAGCTTCAGGGGGGGTGGGGGGCTTCAGGAGGGTAGGGGAAGAGAGAAGAGAATGGAAAGGTCTAAAAAAGAAAGAGAGTGAGAGTCAGGATGGGATGTCTGTTTGGCCCCCCAAAATCCAGGAACTGAAGAGCCTTCAGGCCAACACCTGCCTCTTGGGGGTGACTTCTGGCTGGGGCCCCAGCTGGGTCTGGGCCTGAGCTAGGGGGCCTGGGACGGAAAGGGGGAGCGGCTGGGCAGGCAGCGCCCCAGCGGCTGTGGCCGTAGGCCCCGTGGCAGTGGCTGGGCTGGGCGTGGAGTCCGACCAGTCCGAGAGCGAGGGAGGCGAGGGGCTGGCCCAGTGCTCCGGGGACTCGGGGGACGGGGTCAGGTAAGGGTGCTCACTCGGGACCCTCAGGAAGCGGGCCTTGGGGGGGCTGCCATGGGTGCCAGCTGCCGGGTACTCTTCGCCATGTCCCGCAGCCGCCAGATAGGGCGGGGGCCGTTCCTGGGGGGACACGGGGGTCCCAGGATTCAGCAGCTGGGGCCCCGGCGCCAGCGGCAGCAGGAACGAGGGGCCTGGCGGGGCAGGTGGAGGCAGCCGTGCCCAGTCGAGGGGAACGGCCACGGGGTTCAGTAGACCCAAGCTGAGCACGCAGCCCCCGGGGGGCTGGCGCCCTAGACCCGCCCGGCCCGCACCACCAAGCTGAGCCAGGGACACGGCCGTGGCAGTGGCTGCTGCATAGGGCCCTTCGAGGGAGAAGCCGCCGGGGGACGCAGGGGGCCCACCGAAGGGCCGCGGGGAGTCCAGCGAGTCCACCGGCGACAGTGTGACCGAGCTCTCGGCCAGGGGACCCGGACAGGCCAGCGTCAGCTTCTTGCCCCGTCCCCGGGTGCCCTGTGGCCCCAGCCCCGCCTTCCCTGGTGGCCTCCGGCTCTTCTTGCCCCCTGACTGTGCCACCTTGAGGCCAGGAAGGAAGGCCCCTGGGGGGCAGAGGAGGGGCCCCAGGCCATGTGGGCCATGAGGGCTGCGGGGCCCACTGGGCTGGTCCAGCAGGCGCACGATGTCCTGGTGCAGCCGCTCCTGGGCCACATCCCGCGGCAGCCTGTCCAGGTGGTCTGTGATCTCACGGTTGGCAAAGTGGTCCAGCAGCAGCTTAGCAGCCTCGTAGCTGCCCTCCCGGGCGGCCAGAAACAATGGAGTCTCCTCCTGAGGGGGAGTGGGGCACAGAACCCACCAGAGGTCAGCGTCACAAGAGCCAGGACTAACTCCTGGCCAAGGTCTCATAGGCCCCTGGTGGACTCTGAGAGCCAAGAAGTCACACTCTCCAGCCCAACAGACTTGGCTAGAATCCCAGCTCTGCTAACAGAAACTGGGCAAGTGATCTTAAAGCACTTTCATCCAGGACCTACTAAGCACTATGCCTCAAAGCCAGGACTAGGGTAAGGAAAGTAAGGTACTCTCTTTAGGCACAACACTTAAGGGGTGTCAAAAACCAATCATCAAAATAAATGATATTTTAATGCATTACTTTTTAAATTAAGAGTATTGCAAAAAACACATAATGAATAAAATATCAAAATGTCAGATAAGGACAGAATCTACCCTGTGCGCCTCTTGGCCTCACTCTTCCCATTCATAAAGTGAGGAGAGTAATTCCACCTTGCTAGGGTTTTAAAACAATGATCATAATACTTATGTTTTACTGAGGATCTGCTAAGCATTTTACAAATGTTTGATTTCACTGAATTCTCAGGAGACAAAAGTGTGGTGGGTCCTAGTGCTTCCCCACTTCCAGATGAGGACAGTAAAGCTCAGAGATGTTAAGCAATTTGCCCAAGTTCACACAGCTTTTTCCTCTGACCCTGTTGGAGCCTGTTAGGTCCAAATCCTATACTGAAAGCTGGCTGCAAGCAAGATAAATGCCCCCACTAACTTACCCCACCCTGCTCTTTGCCACATTTAGGGAATTGTACCAGGGCTGACTGCCTGGTGGGTCAAGGGCTGGGGCTCACCTTGCTATCCTGCATGTCCTTGTTGGCTCCATTTTTGAGCAGGGCCAAGGTGGCGTCCACATTGTTGACCGCTGCTGCCCAGTGTAAGGCTGATTTCCCTGGGGGGTGCGGGAAGAGAGGTCAGGTTAGGACTGGGTTCATTTGCTAGGATCCCATGGCAGAGGGAGGGAAAGTATCCAGAATATGGCCTTTTAGGGGGTGGGCTGGGCGGGGATCTGCCATGAGTATCTGACCATGTGTTTGGATCCATGTATGTGAAGACCTGTGGAGTGACTCTCTCTGTCCAGGGAACCTACCGTGTGTGACTATCCATAAGCGGGGGGTACTATGTGGGGCGCTGGTTGTAGCTAGAGCTGGGCTTGTCCAGTGCAGTAGCCACCAGGCACATACTGCTCTTCAGATTTAAACTAATTACAACTAAACAACATAAGTGCCAAGACCACTCGATGGGGAAAGGATAGTCTTCTCAATGAACACTGTTGGAACAATTGCCTCTCCACATGCAAAAGAATAAAGTTGGGTCCCTACCTCACACCAAATACAAAAATTCACTCAAAATGTACCAAAGACCTAAACGTAAGAGCTCAAACTATAAAATATTTACAGGAAAACATAGGACTAAAACTTCATGACCTTGGGTGGCTCAGTGGGTTAAGCCGCTGCCTTCGGCTCAGGTCATGATCTCAGGGTCCTGGGATCGAGTCCCGCATCGGGCTCTCTGCTCAGCAGGGAGCCTGCTTCCCTCTCTCTCTCTCTCTTTCTCTCTCTCTCTCTGCCTGCCTCTCTGTCTACTTGTGATCTCTCTTTGTCAAATAAATAAATAAAATCTTAAAAAAAAAAAAAAACTTCATGACCTTGAATTAGGCAAAGGATTCTTAGATATGATACCAAAAAACAAGCAACAATAACAAGAGAAATAGATATGTTGGACTTCACCAAAATTAAAATGTTTGTGCTTCTACGTGAAAAGAAACCCTATAAATGGGAGAAATAGTTATAAACCATATGTCTACTAAGAGACCTAAATCTGGAACATATAAAAAACTCAAAACTCAATAATAAAAAGACAAAAACCCACTATGTTAACTATACTGGAATTAAAAGAATTTTTTTAAGTGATCTTCCCTTTTTTTTTAAATATTTTATCCATTTATTTGACAGAGAAAGCACAACCAGGGAGAGCAGCAGGCAGAGGGAGAGGGAGAAGCAGGCTCCCTGCAGAGCAGGGAACCCCATGCGGGACTCGATCCCAGAAACCCGGGATCATGACCCAAGCTTGAGGCAGTTGCTTAACCAACTGAGCCACCCAGTCACCTGGAATTAAATTTTTTCTTAAAGATTTTATCTGTTTATTTGATAGAGAGAAAGAGATCACAAGTAGGCAGAGAGGCAGGCAGAGAGAAAGGGGGAAGCAGGCTCCCTGCTGAGCAGAGAGCCCAATTCGGGGCTCGATCCCAGGACCCTGAGATCATGACCTGAGCGGAAGGCAAAGGTTTAACCCACTGAGCCACAAAAGCACCCCTAAAATCTTTTAAAAAACAAAAAAGACCCCAAAAAATGACAAAGAAATTTTTTAAATGGGCCAAGGATCAGAATAGACATTTCTCCAAAGAAGATCTACAAATGGGTAATAAGCACAGGGAAACACGCTCAATATATTATCCAGCAGGGAAATAAAAATCAAAACCACAATGAGATGCCCATTCACACCCACTAGGAAGGCTAGCACAAACGACAGACTACTGTTTGTGCTGTTTGGGAGGACATGGAGAAACTGGAACTGGAACCCCCGTGCACCGCTGGCAGGGGCATCGAACCGGGGCGGGCGCTATGGAAAACAGTCTGGCCACTCCCCACGAGGTCCAACACAGAGTGATCACATGACCACACGACCCACCCAGCAATGCCACTCCTGGATTTGTACCCAAGAGAAATGAAAACATACATCCACACCAAAACATGAACACGAATGTTCACAGTAGTGGTAGCCAAAAAGCAGAAACAACCCTAATGTCCGTCAACGGATAAAACGATTAACAAAATGTATATCCATACAACCGAATAGTATTTGATCATTAAAAAATTAAAAACAGGGGCGCCTGGGTGGCTCGGTGGGTTAAAGCTTCTGCCTTCGGCTCAGGTCATGGTCCCAGGGTCCTGGGATCGAGCCCCATAGGGTTCTCTCCCCAGCAGGAAGCCTGCTTCCTCCTCTCTCTCTGCCTGCCTCTCTGCCTACTTGTGATCTCTGTCTGTCAAATAAATAAATAAAATCTTTTTAAAATTTTTAAAAAAAAATTAAAAGTACTGATCCATGCTACCACACTTCATAAACCTTAAAAACATTACACTGAGTGAAAGAAGCCAATCAAAAAACACCACATATTATTTTATATCCCTTATAGGAAATATTCAAAGTAGGCAAATCCATAGATAGAGAAAGTACATTTGTTAGTGGTTGCCCAGGGCTAGGAAGACAAGATTGGAGGGGGTCAGTAACAGTGAGAGCTTGTGTTCCAGGTGATGAAAATGTTCTAAAATGTATTGTGAGGACAGTGGCACAACTATGTGATTATATGAAAAGCCATGTTATACTTCCAATGGCTAAATTGTATGGTATGTGAATTATATCTAAATAAAGCCTTTAAAAAAAGAAAAAGGAAGCAGAACAAAGGTTAAAAAATTAAATAAAGGTGCCTGGGTGGCTCAGTCAGTTAAGCGTCTGCCTTCAGCTCCGGTCATGATCCTGGGATCCTGGGATCAAGCCTGGTGTTGGGTTCTCTGCTCAGTGGGGAATCTGCTTCTCCCTCTCCCTCTGCCTCTCCCCCCACCAACTCATGCTTATTCTCTCGCTCTCGCTCTCTCTGTGAAATAAATAAAACCTTTAAAAATTTTTAAATGAAATAAGACATTTAGCCCTTCATTCACCCTAGCCACATTTCAAGAGCTCCAAAGCCACCAAGTGTGGCCAGCGGCCACCACAATGGATGGCACAGACCAGGAATATCTCCATCATCATGGAAAGTTCTATTGGACAGCGGTCCTCCAGAGCCACAGTTCTCAGCTGGGGTGATGTCCCCACCCAGGGACATTTGCCAATGTCTGAAGACATTTTGGGTTGTCACAGCTAGGGAATGGAGCGCTGCTGGCATCTAGTGGGTCAAGGCCAGGGATGCCGCTTAATATTCTACATTGCAAGGACAGCCCTCCTCGCAAAGAATCGTTCAACCCCAAGTGTAAATGGTGCAGAGGTTGAGAACAGCAGTTCCCAAGGATGTTTATGAGCATCTGAGTGTGTCTGCAGCTGTGTGAGATCGTCCGGCCATGAGGGCAGGTTGCTGTGAATCCACTCGGGCCAGGACCTGGGCCATCAAGCCACCTCCACAGAGGTAGGTAACACCACGTGTGGATTTGGCTAATTCATAAACATAATATGCCAACTGTCCAGCAGAGGGCAGCAGAGTAGGTTCTTCTAACAAAACAGATGGAAATGACGTGCCTTGGGGAAGGCAGCCTTTTTCTAAGTCACTGAGATGTCCTATGGGCTAGGGGACGCCATGAAAAAAGAAAAAAAAGCATGTGAGTTTAAGTCCATGTCAAAGCCCTCATATGTGAGTTTCAGTGATTGGGTCTCAAAGTAATTCACATAATTCACATAACATACATGACAGTCGGGGCCCAAGAGACACCCTCTAAAGCCTCCACCCACTGCTACTCCCCACAGCTTACCGAGCTCATCCACGGCATTGACATCAGCGTGGCTGGCAATGAGCTCTTCCACCATGCCCTCCACCGCCAGGCGGGCTGCCAGGATCAGGGCCGTGGAGCCATCTGCCATGCGGGCATCCAGGTCTGTGGAGCGGTTCCGGATGAGAATCTAGAAGAGAAGGCATGCAGAAGGGAGGGTCATGGCGTTAACAGAGGGACCAGGAGCATCTCTAAGTCCCCTGAATTCCCCAATCCCCACAGCCCCTAGACTCCACAAATTTTGGGAAGCAGCTACCTGCCAGCCACCATATATTGCCACTTCACAAATGAGAAAAACAGAGCTGTATTTTGCAGGACGAGGGCTCAAACCCAGGTCTGATGCGCGTGCCAGCTCCAGAGTCCAAAAGGGTTGGTGCATCTCACCTGGAAGACACCCTGGGCATCCGCAGTGACAGCAGTGTGCAAAGGAGTGCGCCCTGAGTGGTCCTGGGCATTGGTGTCTGCCCCCGCATCCAGCAGCCGCTTGGCTGCATCAGCCCGGGCATAGCGGGCAGCCAGGTGCAGGGCTGTCTCGCCTGTGCGGTCAGTCCGTGCCCCAAGCTGGGCTCCCTGACAGATCAAGTCTGAGATGATGCTGGCTGATGTGTCTTCTGCCTCATCCTCCTCGGTGGGCACTGGCTCCAGGGCCCCCCCACAGAAGGAGGCCAGCATCAGTGGGGTGAAGCCATCTGTGGGGACCAGGAGTCTGTCACAAGGGAGGTGGGCACAGGGACCTTTCCAGGGAATACCACTGAGGACACTGCATTAGGAGGAAATGGGACACATGGGAGCACAAGAGGGTATGGCACATGCACACACGCACACACACACCTGTGTCAGGTACCCCAGAAGCCAGCCCAGATGAGGATTCACAGGCAGCCCTTCCGTGATTTGTCACGGGAGGGGATCCAGGAAGCAGGAGGGGATCCAGGAGGGAGGGAGGAGCAAGCCTTCAGCCTCAAGCAAATTCCCAAGATGTTAGGTCAGCCCGTTCCTGAAGGAGGACTCTGGAGGCTGAGCTGTACCTCAAAGTGCTCGAGGCGAAAGAGCTTTCCCACGCCCCCACCCACCGGGTAAGAGCCACTCCAGGGACATGAGATCCCAGGCAGCTCAGACCCTGGTAGCTTGAGGAATTTCAAAAGAGAGCCACAGGAGCAGGCCGTTTGGAACAAAAGCAAAATGAGCTGGGGGAGAACTACTCTGAAATGTGGCAAAGACGGATCCAAGAGGATCGAAATAATGTGATCTGCTACCCTCCGCGTGAGCATTTGCCCTGGTTAGGGGAGCCACACGCACCCTATTCCCCACCCTCCAGCCTTGGATAGCGCTAAACCCAGTCCCTGGCTCGAGGAGAGCCTTTAGCTCCGCCCCCTGATTTCATCTGCATATTCCAGCTCCCAGAGCACACTGATTAGCTGAGGGCTGGGCACGTGACTCTAGCCCATCCAATCAGAAGTCATTCTGGAACTTCTGCCCGTGCCCCTTGTAATACAGGTTTTATAAGGCTGGTGAGGCGTGTCTACGGCGCCCCCAGGAGAACGCCTCCGCAGGCTGGAGCCGTGCGGCCCTGCGTCCTGGACCCAAATATCCATGACGCTTCTGGTTACAAGAGCCAGTAAATCCCTTGTTTTACTTCACCTAGTTTGAGCTGGGCTATTATCACACACAACCAAGAGTCCTGATTAAACAGACCCCTACAGACGCATGCTGGACACAGCCAACTCTCCCCAGAACGCAAACCTAGATGCAACTTTTCACAGCAGGACGGGGAAGGGGCATCCTTGGCGGGGAGGCCCCGTCACTGACCTGGGCCTCGCACATTGACATCCATGCCATCGGCATCCACATCGCCCTGCGGGGGTGTCAACGCCATGGCCGGCGCCACACGGATGTCGGCAGCAACCAGGTGGTGTTGGGTCCATTGGCGGCAATCCACAGTATCCTCGGCCCCCACACCGGGCTCCTCTACCTGGAGGCACAAGGACCAAGGATCTCACAAAGAGTTGACAGAGATACAGTTAGAGGGACAGTCTGAGCACCCTCACAGGTTCCTCTCATGGAAATGCACTCACAGTCCCAAGATACCATGAATATCCTCCTTCTCTTATACCTACGGAAACAGGAAATTGAGATGCTGGAGCTCAGAACTCATCAAAGGAAGAACAGGGATTTTTTTTTTTTTAAGATTTTATGTATTTACTTGAGAGAGAGAGCACGAGAGGGAAGAGAGTCAGGGAAGAAACAGACTCCCCGCTGAGCAGGGAGCCCAGTGCAGGACTGGATCCCAAAACTCCAGGATCATGACGCCAGCCGAAGGCAGTCGCTTAACCAACCGGGTCATCCAGACACCCCAGAAGAAGAGGGATTTTACTCTGGGTTGGAAGTGGGGAGGGCTAGGAACCCAAGATGGGTGATCAAGGAAGAGACAGAGAGCATAGCACCTGTCAGAACACACCTGTCTATACACGAGACATAACACACTGAAAATGAAATTAGGGGAACAATATCATGACAACAGTATCAAGAAGAATATAATATTTAAAAGTAAATTTAACAGAAGAAATGCAAAACTTGCATTCTGGAAGCTATAAATCACGGGTAAAAGAAATGCAGGGGCGGGGCTGGGTGGTCCTTCACGGATCAATTTTAATCTGAGAAAAGGGTGATTGGTTGGGAGAGAAAAAGAAAATCAAGGGAGATGCTCTGGGTACCAAGTGGGACTCCTACTCAGTACCATGAACATGAACATAAGGTATCAGGACAGAACAGTCATACACAAATGTACTGATTTCCCTTCAAAAGCATAGCACCTGGGCCCCCGGAAGGAGCTTGATAAATTTCAGACTCAGGGTCCAAAAGGCATAGTGATGTTATGGAAACAGGACGGAGTATTCTTAACTAGCCTGCCAGGACATTTAAGAGCCTTCAGGAACCAAACACAGCCTGATCAAGTCAGACCCATGCTTAAGAACCCAGGTAGAGAGTTGAATTTCATGGAAGGGGAAAGCCAGATGATGGACAGTTGTCTCATCCTCCCTGACCCTTTCTGGTTAGCTGTCCCTCAGCTGGCAAATCACACTAGAGCTCTGAGCATCTCATTAGCAAAGTCAGGATACTGCTGTCATTCTGCAATGCAAAAATGCCATCAAAAACATATTGTGGGGGCGCCTGGGTGGCTCAGTGGGCTAAAGCCTCTGCCTGCAGCTCCGGTCATGATCCCAGAGTCCTGGGATCGAGCCCTGCATCAGGCTCTCTGCTCATCAGGGAGCCTGCTCCCCCCCGCCACCTGCTTCTCTGCCTACTTGTGATCTCTGTCTGTCGAATAAATAAATAAAATCTTTAAAAAAAACATATTGTGCTTAAAAAAATATATTGTGCTATCTACTTAATATCCACTTTGGGATAAGAACGAAAAAAAAAAGCCTGAGGTGAACAGATTTCTTCAGGTGTCAATTGTAACATATGTCTCCATTTCATGAACATTAAAATCTAGGCTGGGGATGCCTGTGTGGCTCAGTCATTTAAGCAACAGACTCTTGGTTTTGGCTCAGGTCACAATCTCAGGGTGGGGAGACCAAACCCCAGGATGGGCTCCATGCTCAGCCCGGTCTGCCTGAGATTCTCTCCTCCTTGTCCTCTGCCCCTCCCCCACTTGTGTGTGCACACTCTCTCTCTCTCGCGCTCTCTCTCTCATAAATAAAGGGGAAGGCAGGCTGAGAACTGCCTCTAGGCAGGGAGAGGCAGCTGAGAACTGAGGTGTATATTAATAGCTGCTTTATAGGGTCCTCATAAAGATGAAATAAGATGCTTGTGTGTGTTCAAGACATTCAGCAAGTAGAAGGAAATGCTAGCAGGAACCTGTTACAGACAGAACTGTGCTCCCCCAAAAGTCATATGTGGAAGCCCTAACCTCCAACGTGACTATATTTGGATGTGGGATCTTTAAGGAGGTAATTAAGGTGACACAAGAGCATAAGAGTGGAGCCCTAATGCAATAGGATTGATATCTTTGTAAGAAAAGGAAGAAGCACCAGGGCTTTCCCCCTCCAGGCCCACAGAGGAATGCCATGTGCAGACACATGAAGAAGGCAGCTGTCAAAGAGCCCAGAAGAGAGCTCACCAAGAACCAACCCTGCCGGCACCTTGACCTTGGGACTTCCAGCCCGCAGAACTGTGAGAAAATAAGGATCTGCTGATAAGTCCCCCAGTCTGTGGTATTTCATAACGGCAGCCCAAGCTAACAAAGACCCCACGGGTGTGGCCCCAGCAGAGGACATGGTGTTTAAAACCCTCTAGGAGCACTTTTGGCCTGCACACGCTGGACAGAGTTGGACCCAGCAGAGAGAAAGCAGAGTTGCTCTCTGGGCCAGAGGCTCCCCTCCAGGAAGATCCCACCTTGGCCTGGGAGCAGAGGCCTGGTTAGAGAGGGCAGGATGGAGCGGGTGCCATGACTGTTCCCCAGAGCTGGGGAGAGCAGAGATTTCCCCTGACTCTCCCCCTGGCCATCGGAACCACCACCCAGGACCCTGAGGGCAGGAATCAGAGAAAGGGGGCACAACCTTCAGTCGCTTAGCCTCTGGGCACTCCGTATCCATCCAGTCTGTGGCCACCTCCCCCATCAGACTCTCGCTCTTGGCCATGTTCCTGTGGGGACAGTTGAAAGGGGGTAGGATAGAGGAGACAATGGGGACATGCTACCTGATAGGAGGGTCTGGGGCGGGGTCAGAGAAGAGCTCCCAGAAGCCAGGTCTGGGTCTGGGTCTGGGTTCTGGGGTCCTGGGTCAGTAGGCACAGGAGACAGGGTCAAGATACAGGGTCCAAAGAGGGGATGCAGGATGAAGTCAAGGTCACAGTGCAGGGGTAGTCAGAAGTTATGATGGGTGGCAGCCAGGGTCTTAAGGTAGAATTGGGCAAGGATTGGGGTCAGGGGTCAGGACAGTGGGCTATGAAATAGATGAAAGTCACAGGCATACAGCAGGGATTACAGAAGATGACATCGGGAGTCATGAGGATGGAGTTATCCTCACCACAGGTGAGAGATGAAGCCAGGATCAAGGAGGTTGTAGTGAGGAGTCAGGAGGTCATGGGGTCACAGGAGAGGGGTAAATTCAGGGGTTAGGTCAGGGTGGGGTTGGAGGTCTTGAGGGACACATCAGGGAGTTGGAGGCGAGACCCAGGGCCAAGGTCAGAATGAAGTCAAAGGTCAGGGTGAGTTAGAGCCAGAGGTGGTACTGGGGGGCCATAGAGGATAGGGCCACGGGTCAGTAAGGGATTGAGGTACAGACAGGGATCATGAGGCCCATAGTTGTGTGGGAACAAATTTGAGTATCACGGTGAAGTTCGGGAGGCCAGGATCAGGGCAGGGTCACGGTGGGGTCAGAGTAGGGTTGGGGTCAAGGAAACAGAGATACAGGAAAAGGAGTCGGAGGGTCATGAGTCCGGGGTGGCTCCCAAGGATCACGGAGTCAGTCAGTGGTTAAGAGGATGAGCCCTGAGGTCCTGGCTGGAATCTGAAGTTAGGGTCTGCTTGGGATGAGAGGTCGGAGTCAGGCCACAGGGGGCTCAAGGGCTCCCAAGCGCCCCCACAGTCAGGCACGGGGAGCAGCCAGGGTCCTTACTTCATGCCCAGTGCGTCTTGGCCCACAGGCTCCCGCCGGCCCTTGTGGCCAGCAGCCACATCCTTGTGGAGCGCGAAGCCCTCGGGGAACCACAGGGTGCTGTGCTCACGCTTGCGGCGGGCCACCATGACCCCCAGGACGAGGATGACCAGCAGGAAGACCGCGCTTGCAGCCAGCAAGGGAAGCAACGGCACACTTGGCTCCGGCAGCTCCAGCGGCTCCCCTGGGGGCGGGAAGCAGGGGGGCTCGAGCACAGGCCCGGCCCCCACCACCCCCGCGGAGCCCCAACTCCACCCTCATCACCCACCAGGCCGGGCCTCACCCCGCACAGCCCGCAGCGGGTAGGGGAAGTCCAGGCGCTCCACGGCCGACAGCGCTCCCAGGTAGTCGGCCGCGCTCTGGGCATCGGGGAAGCAGTGGTCATTCTCAGGCGACTGCAGGCACAGCCGGTTGTCGATCTCCAGCATCACCACAGAGCTGCAGGGATGCGAGGGAAGGACAGGCAGGTTCCATGGCGCACCTGCCATCAGCCAGGCCCGGAGCCCCAACCCCGGGGCTCAGAAGAGCCCTCTCCTCTCACCATGTTGTCAGGGCCCACATGCCCCCAGTCTGGCACCGAACCCCACCAATGCCCCGAAACCAGTCTTGCTGTGGCCACCAGGGTCCCCTGACCACAAATCCAGTGGGCACCGTTTTTCACATCAACATCTCTAGTAGATGCCGTAGGCGCACACCCAAGTCTCCAGCTTCTAACAGCTGACAGCCGCCTCTTCTCCAGGAAATGGACCTCAGCAAAGTGGCGACCTCTTCACTTGGGAGGTGACACCCCTTAGGGCAGCCCTCAGCCTGGGACTGGTTGATACAGGGTGTACACAGTGGCCCTCCGGTCTCAAGGGGGCGACTGACTGGGGGTGTTATTTGTGCTCTAGAGCTCCCTGAGGAATTACACTGAGGCCAGACCGAGACCCCTTCCTGCCCCATCCTGCTTCCCTCCTTCCCTCTCTCCTGAGAGCACCCCTTCCTTGCAGCACATACATCTGAATCCCCATCTCAGACTCTCCAAACTCCCTCTCACCTTGAGATGCCATCCTAGCTCTCTGGCTGCTCCTTCTACTCTTTTGTGAGCTGATTTCCCTCAACCAATCCCTGGGTCTCTGTGTCCGCAAGTCATTCTTTTGTCTCCACTTCTTTGAGTACCTCCCATGGCTTCAACACCCTTTTTTCTTTCTTATCTGTGTCTTCAGCCTTGCCTGTCTCCTGAAGGGGGGACCTCTACAATACCCCAGACTCCTCAGATTCTGCAAGCCTATGATCCCTGTTTATCACCCTGTGTCCTTTTCTGGGTGAGACACACACCCCTGCCCCCGCTGCCCAGAGACCCTATCACCACACCCAGGGAGCATCCAGGGACCGGTAGGTCAGCCAGACTCCATCCACTCCCCCACGGCAGCTGTCCCCGTCAGAGCCCCTACCCTCCATCTCTAGAATCCAGCCCTCCTTGGCCAAGGGCCCCTTGCCTGCTCAGAGGCCACACCTCCCTTCTGGCCTCCCTCCCAGGCCACCCTCAGGAAAATTCTGTTTTCCATTTCTTAAAAAAAAAAAAAAAAAAGCAAAAACTACACATGCCCTTAACCACTCTGCTCTCCAGAGGACCCTTTCTGGTACCCAGAGGCACTTCTGTCACATCTTGGGGTGGGGGGGCACCTGCACATAGTGGGTGGAGGCCAAGCCCGCTCCTGCTGAGCATCTGGTAGCACCCAAGACAACCCCTTCCCCAAGCAAACAATGACCCGGCCTCAGATGACAGAGGTGCAGAAGTTGGGACATGCAGGTCACATCACCAAGATGTTAAGGGAAGTGAAACCCATAAGCCCTGAGGAGCGGGGACCCTTCCCTCCCAGACCAGCACCCTCAAGGGTCCCCGCGGCTCCTCCAGGGTGCAGCACGCACCCGATCACCTCCGGGGCCAGCTCGCGCCGGTTCCGGGACTCGGAGCCAGGACCCGGCCTATGGTAAGGGAAGACCATGGCCTGGCCGTTCTCATCCAGGCGGAAGCGCAGCGAGGTGCGCAGGATGCCGCTGAGCCGCTGCAAGAAGTCGGCGCTGGAGCGCAGCAGCTCCTCGGGCGGGAGCAGCACGGTGAGCACCAGCACGCCGCGGGCCAGCAGGGCGGGCACCTCACCCGCACAGTCCAGCCCATCCCAGCCGCACTCCTCCGTGTTGCAGCCCTGGTCGCAGCGGCCATCAGCAAAGTGGTCCGCACAGTACTTCTCGTACACGGGGCTGGGGGAGGAGAGAAGTGGGGTCAGAATCGTCCAACACCCCCGCACACGCGCCAGAGAGGACCCAGACTCCAGAGACACAAGGGGGACAGATGGTGAGAGCACAGAGGGCTCGAATGTATCCGACAGGTGTCAGGCCTTCTGCAAACCCAGCCGTTCCTTCAGTAAATAGTAGCAAATAACTATGGACAGATGCCTGCTGTAGGCATCCAGAAATACGCCCGCCCAGGGACAGCAGGCATTCCAGTGGGCAGAGACAGACATTGAAAGAGATGAATGAGCAGCAGAATACAGAGCATTTCAATTACACATCAGAAAAAGCTGAATATAAACACACACATATGCAGGATACTATAGGAATTAAAAGCTAAGGAGGAAAATAAAGCAGGGGAAGTATTGGAGGAGGCCAGGGAGGAGCTCACTGAGAAGGGACTGCTGTTGCAGTGAAGGCTTGAAGGAGGTGAGGAAGGAGCCATGTAGCTTCCTGAGGGAAGAGGATTCCTGGCAGAGGGAACAGCCAGCGCAGTGCAAAGACCCTGAGGTGCAACCAAGCCTAAGGTATCTGAGAAATGGCAGAGGCCGGGGTGTCTGGAGCACAGTAAGTGAGGAGGAAAGTCGGGGTAATCAAGACAGGGAGATAAAAGTGAGGGAAGCATTCTAGGCAGACAGAGGGACAAAAGAGGCAGAGCAGAGGGATGGACAGATGAGGTCCAAGAATGGACCAGAAGAGATGTAGACAGGGACACCTGGGTGGCTCAGTCAGTTAAGCATCTGCCTTCAGCTCAGGTCATGATCTCAGGGGCCTGGGATCAAGTCCCCCATCAGGCTCCCGGCTCATCAGGGAGTCTGCTTCTCCCTCTGCCCCCCCCCCCCAGTTTCTGCGCATGCTCTCCCTTCTCTCAAATGAATGGATAAAATCTAAAAAAATCTTTAAAAAAAAAAAAGAAGTAGACAGACATTTGGGTGTGCTGAGGGACGAAAGGAATTCACGGATGGACAGAACAAAGTCCAAAGATGGACAAACAGGACATGGGGAGAGGCAGATGGAGTGCACAGGTAGAAAGAAAGACACAACATGTACAGGTCATGTAGTGTGTGGTTGGAGGGACAGAGAGCAGTGGCACATGGATGGGCAGATGAGCCGCACAGACAGACCAACAGCACTCAGACGGGCAGACAGGGTCCACGAGGAAACTGAGGGCGAAGAAGTGGACATCCTACGGACAGTCTAAGGATGGACTGACATTAAGCCAGTGAAGCGGCAGAGAGAGAGGCGGGGCCCACAGGTGCGCAGGTGGGGCCCACGGACGGAGAAGACACAGACCAGCGAGCGGTCGAAGGGACCGGTCCGAGGGACGACGGACAGACAGACAGACCGAGGGGCTCACTTGCAGGTGCGCTCGCGGCCGCCGGCGCGGCAATCGAAGTTGTCGTAGAGGCAGGCGGGCGAGCTGCAGGCAGGGTCGCAGCGGCTGTTGTTGAAGAGGCGCCAGCACTGCAGCGCCGCGCACTGCCGCCAGGGGTCGCCCACGCTCAGCGAGCAGTCGCCGCCGTCCCAGCCGCAGCCCCGGCTGTTGCACTCGCGGTCGCAGCGCTTGTCCCCGCTCTTGGCCTCGCAGGCGGCGCTCGGGCACAGGGGCTCCTCCGGGGCCTCGGGCGCCGCCGCGGGCGCCTCGCACCTTGGTCCGGCCCAGCCCGGCGCGCACGCGCAGCGGAAGAAGGGTGCGAGCGGCGCGGGGCGGCAGGAGCCCCCGTGGAGGCACGGGGAGGCCACGCAGCTGGCGTTGGAGGCCCCCGGCGGCGACCCCCGCGCGCCCCGGCAGGCGGGCCCGGATAGTCCTGGGGGACAAGCGCAGCGCGGCCCACGGACCGTCTGCTGGCACGGGACGCCGGCCGGGCACTGCAGCTCCCGGCAGGAGCGCGCCACCCGCTCGCAACGCGGGCCCCAAAACGGCTGGGGAAAGAGAGGGGAGCGAGGGATTTGGAAAGGTGGAGAAGAGAGAAAGGGGACGATAGGGGGTCAAGGCTTCGGAAGGTTGAGCCTCCAATCTCCCCAGGTCCCGCCCAACCTCTCCGCTAGCAGAGAAGCTCCTCCTTCCCCTGGAGGCCATGCCTCCAAACCTGTGCCTCCCCCTCAACACACACACACACACACACACACACACACACACTCTCTCTCTCTCTCTCTCTCTCTCTCTCTCTAGGTATTTTCAGTATTTCTCAGGAACCCCCTTCCCTTCCACCCCTTCTCCCCTAAAGCCACGCCCTCCAAAAAGGCCATGCTCCCACTCCTCTCCCAGAGACACTGATGTGACCTACCGGAATGCAGTGACAGGTAAATGTCAGCACACCCCCAGGGCCTGGGCTGGGACGGCACTGGCCTCCATGCTGGCAGGGCTGGGACTCGCACGGAAACAGGGCAGTCTGACATCGGGGACCTAGACAAGCAGGAGCTGGCGGGTCAGCCACAGGGTAGGAACACAGGCAGGGTCCCAGGGCAGCCGCCTCGCTTGCTTACCTGTGAAGCCTGGACGGCAAATGCAGCGGAAGCCCCCACCTGGATCCTGCAGACAATCCCGAGTGTGTACATCGTGGCAGGCACCCGGGTGACACTCATTGATGTCCGCCTCACAGCGCAAACCAGTGTACCCGGGGGGGCAGGTGCAGCGGAAGCCCCCCACCAGGTCCACGCAGGTACCATTGTGCAGGCACCGGGGGCCCTGGTCCAGGGGTGGGCCTGGGCCACAGTCGTCCTCATTAATCTCACAGAGCACGCCTTGGGGAGGGGAGGATGGGGGAGAAGTCAGGAAGGGACAGAGACCCAGCCTCCCATCCTGTCCCCCAACCCTGGCCCTGGCATACCCAGTGTTCCTGGGGGGCAGGAGCAAAGATAACGGGCCACAAGGTCGATGCAGAAGCCCCCATGCTGGCAGGGCTGGGAGGCACACTCATCCACATCATCCTCACAGCTGTCCCCTGTGTAGCCAGCTGGACACTGCAGCGATGTGAGACAGGGACCTCTAAGCCCAGAGGGACACAGATACTCCCCATGAAGACACAGAGATCACAGAACAAGAAGACCTACAGTCTCATCCAACACAGAGAGGCATGCCCCGTGTACAGAAACACACACATGCACACACACACAAACACACACACACACAGTACAAGGAAACACACCCAGTCACAGAGGGTTAGAGACACAGCCAGTGCAGAAGGACACACACACACAAATGCACAGGATAGACACACAGGAGAAACATCCAGATGTACCCAAGACACATAAAACCAGAGATGCACTGGGACACCAGTACATGCATTCACACCCAAAGGGCAGGGTACATGGAGGAATACAGAGATACATCTAGGAAACAACCGAAGACAGAGGCACACCCAGACAGACAGAAAGTCTCTCAGATAAACCAAGAAATACACCCATAAGATTATACCCAAAGATACAAAAGCAAAAACCAGACATGCAACACACCCACACCAGGTCACAGACACACAGCATGACTAGCTCCCCTCTCCCCAAGTCTGGGTGCCCCTTACCTCACACACATAACCCCCCATGTAGCCTCGGCAGGTGCCCCCATGCTGGCAGGGCTGGCCCAAGCAGGGGTCCACCTCCTGCTCACAGTGGCTGCCCGTGCGGCCTTTTGGGCACACGCAGTAGTGGGAATTGTCCTTGTCCACGCACTGCCCACCTGTCTGACACAGCTCTTCCAGCCGCACCCCTGCACAGAGGAGAGCAGGGTGAATCACGTATTTGCCCCTTCCTGACTGCATCGCTCACAGCATCACCAAACACCCTTGCTGGCATCAGTCACCAGGGTCTCACACACACCCCATTGGGTTGTCAGCCCTCCAAACTGGCATGGTCTCAGACACCGTCACACAAACACATATCCACACCTTTGCTGTCCATCCTAGCTCAGTCACACACAGCTACCTCATCCCTGCTATGATGTCATCCCAGCTACCCCATGGTGACAGAGGCATCCACCATCCTGGCACTGGCCAGCTGCCCCACATTACACATCCACAAAAACTCAGCCACACACCCCATCCCACCCATACTCTCTGCCATAGCTTTACTGGGCTCTTGTTAGCAAGAAGTATGTGCACACACACCCTCTGGAGCCCCACACCCCGCCTCTGTGCTCCCCCTCACCCATCTGGGCTGCGGCCTCCCTGCAGGGCAGACTCCGGATGTCACAGAGGCGGCCGCTCCACCCCGGGGGACAAAGGCAGTAGAAGGTGGCCCCGGTCCGTGCACAGCGACCCCCGTTCTGACAGGGCGTGCGGCTGCACCAGTCTACCAGCGTCTGGAGGGGAAGCTGTCAGCGTCAGCGCTCAAGGACCCCCGAGGAGCCGCACCCCAGCTTCTCCAGGGTCCCAGGCAAGCCCCTACCCTAGACCAGCCCTCCAAATTCCTCCCGCAGGCCCCCGGTGACGCCGCCCACCTGGCACTGCGCTCCAGTGAAGCCCTCCGGGCAGGTGCAGCGGAAGCCAGGGTGGGCAGCACTGCAGACGCCCCCATGCAGACAGGGCCGAGAGAGGCAGGGGTCAGCCTCGTGCTGGCAGTGTGCGCCCGAGTAGCCCGGACGGCACTGGCAGCTGAACGAGTTCACGCCATCCACGCAGGTCCCACCGTGGAAGCAGGAGCTGGAGGGGAAGTGAGAGATGGGTCAGGCTCCGCCCCCATGCAGGCCCCGCCTTCCTGGCCCCTCCCCGCGCCGAGAGGGCACTCTTCTGTGACCCCCCCTACCCACAAGAAGCTGCAGCCCTAGCAGAGGTCCCGCCCCTTCCTGTCCCTTAGCCCCAACTTACCAAGTACTTCAGAGCTAAGGTGGGAGTCATGTGGAGGCCCCGCCCTGACCTGGCCTCGCTCCTTTCGGGACCAGAGTCCCTAAGGTGACCTCGAATCAGACGCCCTAACCCTTCCCGGACACTGCTCCATCACGGATCAGAGCTGTGAGGTGCGTGCCAAGCCAAGAACCCTCTTCTTGTCCCCACTCCTTCTCATGTTCCAAACCCCATCCCATTCTAGGGTCCCCAAGCTCCTAGTAGGGTCCCCACGCACCTGGGGCTGCAGTCTGGTAGATCCTGCTCACAGTGGAAACCTCCATAACCAGGTGGACAGGTGCAGGTAAAAGAGGCCACGTGGTCAGTGCATGTGCCTGGGCCACAGGGGCTGCTCAGACACTCGTCCACATCTCGGGCACAGCGGGGACCAGCGAAACCAGGAAGGCAGGAGCACGAAAAGGAGCCCAGGCCATCCTGACAGGAGCCACCATTCAGGCAGGGGTCTAAGGTCCAAAGGGAGAAGCCCTGGTCATACACTTCGCCCCCCATCAGCTCAACCTGACCCAGCCATGCCTTTCATAGAGGGAAATCAAGAAGAAACCAGGCTTAACTGGGAGGGGCACATTTGGTCAGAGGGATCAAATTCTGTCCCCTCTGTGGCCTCATCCCCTCCCTTATCTGGAAGCCTCACCTATGTGCAAGGAAGAGAGAGATGGGGGAGCCAAAAGGTCCCTTTGAGCTGCCAAGCACATGCTGCTAGATGTGTCTATTTAATTCCTGGGCACAGCACAGAAGGCCTCCAGACCTGTGCTAGCCAGTAGAGTGGTCATTGGCCTGGTGTATCTAGTAAGCCCTTGACATGTGGCTGGCCCAAATTGGGATGAGCTATAAGAGTAAAATAAACACTAGATTTCTGATTTTGAAGACTTCATACGAAAACAAAAATGAATGTGAAAGATCTCAATAATTTGATATTGATTACATGTCAAAATAACATTTTAAATATAAGTTTAAATAAAATATATTATTAAATTTAACATCTTTTTTTTTTTACTTTTTCAATGTGGCGACTAGAAAAATTTTATGTGTATATGTGGCTTACGTTACTGGCCTCTCAGACAGTGCTCCTGGAGCACTCACTCGGGGTCTATTATGTCATACTTTCCACATAATGTTAATTTGCTTGTCGCCAGAGGCAGCCTACGGGCTTCAGACAGACCTGTGCTCAGATCCCACCTCATCCCTCTCCCTTCGTGACCTTGGGCAAGCCACCTAACCTCTTTGGGACCTTGGTTTTCAAGAATAAAATGGGGAAAGTGAGAGAAGAGTGAACAGGAAAGCTCAGGGCTGAGCACATAGTATGGGCTTGAGGAATGTGCTCTCTAGAGCAGCTCCCCCCCCACCCCGGGGTCTCCCCTGAACTCACTGGGGTCACAGTCATCGATGTCCTGGTCACAGGAAGGCCCACTATACCCCCTGTGGCAGGTACAGCTGAAACTCCCCTCCAAGTTGGTGCAGGTACCGTGGGAGCCACAGCGGGAGGGGCCAGCACACTCATCCACATCCTGCTGGCATCGTGGGCCTAGGGATGAGGAGCAAAGTAACATCCAGGGTTAGAGGGTGCAGGGCAGGGCCTGAGAGTACCTGGCCCTCAGGAAGAACGGGAAGGCTGAGGGGGTGAATACAAGAATAAGCTTTGTGGTCATTTGCCTCTGGGTGTTTTGCACATGCTGTTCCCAAACTGCCTTTGCCTATTTCAGTGGGTAGTGAAGGCTTTCTGATTGAGGTCTGCCCCTCCAGGGAGCTGTCCCCAAACCCTCCGCCTGAATCCTAGCTTCCCCACGCCCGTATCCCTTCATCTTCTCCAGAACTAACCACACGGCTGCAAGTGTCTGTGTTCAGCTCGGTCCCTTCCTAAAAAGAAGCCCCCTCAAAAAAACAGGGCCAAGGACATGTTTCCCTCTGGGTCCCCAGCACCACCCACTATGCAGTGGGGTGCAGAACAAGTGAAGGAAAGGAGGAGGAGGAAGAAGCAGGTGGTGTACCTTGCCAGCCAGGGGGGCAGGAGCAGACAGGCAGCTGGCCAGGGACAGGCTCACAGTGGCCCCCGTGCTCACAGGGGTTCGGGGCACAGGGGGACAGCAGCTCACACTGATGACCTGTGGTGGGCAGGCAGAGTGAGATAGTCTTGACAAATTCCTTTTCCCCATCTCCTTCCAGGGACCCACCTTGTTACCCACCTCCAAATCTCCTGGGGAGGATAGGGAAGGAAAAGGGGAAAAAAGCCAAATGTAGAGGAGGGGGAGTGGAGCAGAAAGGAAATGAGCAGGAAGAAGTGGGGAGGGCGAGCCTGGGTTGGGAACATGGGGACACACACCCTGTACACCAGGGGGACAGGTACAGTGGAAGCCCATTCCATCACTGGTGCAGGTGCCACCAGACCGGCAGGGCTGGGATTCACAGGCATCTCGAGCCAGGCTCTGGCTGCATCGGGGACCACTCCAGCCAGGCTCACACACACAGCGGAACCTGGAGGGGAAGGCAGTCAGGGAATGCCCATGGGCAGGGACACAGCAGGGGTTCAGGAGTTGGGGAGAGTCCTCACCCTCCAGGCGCATCGTGGCAGACACCGTGACTGCAAGGATCTTGGGCACAGGGATGGCTCGCGGGGAGGCAGAGTGGGGGCAGGGAGCCAGGAGGGCAGAGGCAGCGGAAACCATTTTCCCCATCCACACAGGAGCCTCCGTCACCACACGGACTGGACGCACACTCGTTGATCTCCACGTTGCAAAGGGGCCCTGGAGAGCACGAAGGCAATCTCATCCCAGGACAAGGACGATGGTGCCAACAGGGAAAGGCAACCTTGCCTCGTTTAGCATGGCCACACCCTTGAGCAAGAACAATCTCACCTTCCTAACACATCAGCTCTTGTACAGATTAAGACAGCCAGCTCCTCAACCCGGAGCTGCCCCCAGATCATACTTGTTCCCAGACTTCCATGAAATCACCTTCATTTTCACTAAGGATTACTTTGGCCCCATGCAGAAACGTGATACCTGAGACTGGACCCTCATCTGTGTTCCAGGATAATCTTGAGCTGATATGGGGACAACCTCAGTCCAGTGGGAGAGAGCACAACCTCAGGGCTAAATGTGGACAATCTCATTGGACAAGCAAATGCAAAGAGAGGGGCAAACTCAACTAAGAATAGAGTACTTTCATCCTCACCCTCTCAGCCTATAGAGACCCTCTTCCCATGGCAGCCACCTGCCCACCTGTAAAGCCAGGCTGGCAGACACAGTCATAGCGGTTGATGCCATCACGGCAGACTCCAAAGGTGCAGGGGTTGCTGGCACAATCATCAATGTTCACCTCGCAGTTCACTCCTGGGGAGGGAGAACACGGCAGAGGTAGCCATCAATGAGTCCCGCCAGGGGCACCATTCCCAAAGCCTCTGTGCCCTTCCAGATGTACTGTTCCTGCCCCAACCCGGCCTCCAGCCCCACCTGTGGTGCCAGGAGGGCAGCGGCAGAGATATTTGTCCACCAAGTCTAGACATTTGCCTCCGTGGCGGCAGGGCTGGCTGCGGCACTCGTCCACCTGGCTCTCACAGCGTGTGCCTGTGTATCCTGGGGCGCAGGCGCACGAGAAGCTGGCAATGCCGTCCACACAACGCCCATGGTGGCACGGGTCCGGGGAGCAGTCATCCACGTTGCGCTCACACAGCGTGCCCTCAAAGCCTGGAGGACCAGAAGGTCAGGCTCCACCCACTTGCCAAGGTTCTGCCCACAGCCGTGGCCTCGGACCAATCCTCCCCAGCTCTACCTCAGGCCCTGCCCATCTAGCCAACAGGAGGTGGGCTCTATTCAGGCCCCGCCCCTTAACTCCCTCTAGCCACAAGCTCCAGGACTCGCCCACCCCTGGCCAAGACACTTCCACAGATAAATCCCATCCCCAACCGCAACCTCTCCTCCAGTCTTTACCCTATCAGCCCTGTTCAGCCTCACTTCCCACTCTGGACTGGAAATGGGGACACATGGGAAGTGCCTGGGTGTAGAGGGATTTGGACACCCCCCTCTACCAAAGTGCACCCCTTCTCTGCCAGACCCATTGGCCCCACTCCTAGCCTTACCACTGTTTACATCCGTCATTGGCTCCACCCCCTAGCTCTGTCATTGGCTCTCTCGAGTCCTGCCTTGCTGCAGCCCTGACCCCAAATTGTCCCCAAGGCTGTTATTTGCCTTCCCCCCCTTGTCCCGCCCCCAGACTCTTGCTGGCCTGTCATTGGCCCTCTCTCACCCTCTGCGCAGCGGCATTCATAGCCATCAGGCTGGTCCACACACTTGGCTCCATTCCGGCAGGGTGTGCTGGCGCACTCATCCACATCCAGCTGACACATGGCCCCACTGAAGCCTTAGGGTGGGAAGTGGGATGGGCAGAGGCCCAGATAGGGTCAGAGAAGTCACCCCTTGCCAGCCCTGCCTTGTTTGGGTGGGATGAGTGGGATGTTCATTTATTTAGTTTTAATGTGCGTGTGTTTTGTCTGTTTTTTAAATAGGCTCCATGCCCAGCGTGGAACCCAACGGAGGGCTTGAACTCAACCCTGAGACCAAGACCTGAGCTGAGATCAAGAATCAGGTTTAACCTGACTGAGTCACCCAGGCACCCCAACTTGGTTTTAAATTAATTTCAAGGTTTTTCATAGCACGTGGTTTCTGTTATGATAGTTATCCACTAACATGGTCTTATAGGGCTCCCCTAGAGCCTTTGCCTCTGCAGGGACCTGTCTTCTTCAGGCTCCCTGGCCTAGGGTCCTCACCCGAGGGGCAGGTGCAGCTGAAGCCGTTGACTCTGTCCTTGCAGACCCCACCATTGACACACGGGCTGCTCTGACACTCATCCATGTCCACCTCACAATAGGTGCCTGTAAAGCCTGGGGAGTGAGGGAGGGGGATTAGGGCAGTGCGGGTTAGCCTCTGGTCTAAAGGGAGAGCACGTGGGAAGGTACTCCCTTTCCTACCCATAGACGGTTCCTCTGAGCCTTGCTTGGCCTTGCCCACCCCCACCCCCCAAGGCCAATCCCAGATTCAGCTTTTGACCTCTTGATGGACCTCACCCAACTGTGGATCCAAACGGCCAAAGCTTATGAGCCTTCCTATGGGCCTTCCCTTCAGAACACCCTCTTCCCTCTGCAGTCCTCACACTCTACCGGGTCCTCGGGTACCAGGCCCAGCACCCATGTAACCTTGGGCCCAGCCTCCATCCCATCCCAGGGTTAGTGCAAGACTGTCTGCAGGCTCCACCTTGACCCACTCCAGCTCCTGGTCCGGCCCTCTTATCATCTCCCGCCCCCCAGTGGGTCCTAAGGCACAGACTCCAGTCCCAGCCCATCTGAGGTTCTACAGAATCCCTTTGACCATGGCCCCAGCCATGCACAAAGCTGCTACTCTGGCCCAGCCTCCACCTCATCTCAGGGTTCCGTTCCAGACAGTTTCACCAGGAAAGGGGGAGGGAGGTGTCCTGACCTGCAGGCTTCCCTTGCCACGCCCCCAGCCTCAGGCTCCACCCTGGCCACACCCACCACGCACCTGCCATGCAGATGCAGGTGAACTGGCCTATGCGATCGAGGCATGTGGCCTGGTTGCGGCAGGGCCCGGATAGGCACTCGTTGACATCAGTCTCACAGCGCGGGCCAGTATAGCCACGACCACACTGGCACAGGAAGGAGCCCTGTGTGTTCACGCACCGGCCGAGGTGTTCACATGGGTTGGCGCCTGCAGGAGGAAGCAACGCCAGTGTGAGTGTGGGTGGCTAAGGACCCGCCTCTCCCCTCCCTCCCAACTCTCAGACCACACACCCCCCCCTCACCAATAGAGCACTCATCCACATCCTGGTCACACGCTCCGCCAGTGAAGCCTGGTGGACAGGTGCAGATGGCCCGGCCATTCACGGGGTTCGTGTCACAGATAGCATCCTCATGACAGGGGTTGCTGACGCAGGCGTCATCCAGGTGACATAGAAGCCCTGGAAGAGGTTAGGCAGAGTTTGGGGGGGACCCTCCAGCTCTGCCCAAAGGTCTCACATCTGCCACATACTGTTTTGTGTTTTGTTTCTATCAACCTGCAGTGTATTTAGGAGCTATTTTCCCCAATCGTTTATTATAAAAATTTTCAAATGTACAGCAAAGTTGATTCACATGCCCACCACCTAGATTCAACTCTCGTAAGCTTTATGTTGTTGTTGTTGTATTTTGGAACCACTCGAAAATGAGTTGGAAACATCCACACACTGTTTTAAAATATGTTGACTCCTTTTCTGATTACATACTCTCAAGTCTTTGCCTCTGCGGTATCTTCTGCCTGACACGCCCTGTCCTCCATATCCAAGTCCCCCTCCCAAACACCTTCCCTGACCCTGGCCACTTGCAAAGGTCCCATCTCTTTCTCAGTCACAGGTAGCTCTCTATTCCCATGGCTACTGCCCCGGACTGTGGGCCAGCGTCTCCTTAGACCCCTCCCAGGCTCACCCTGTACCCCAAATCATTCTAACACTCAAGTCAGACTCCATCCCTGCTCCCACTATAGAACCATCAATGGCTCCCTGCTCCCTATAAGGAAAACAGCCACTCACCAGTCTTGCCCATGGGACAGGCACAGTAGAACGAGGCCACACGGTCATGGCAGGTGGCCCCATGGAAGCACACAGCCGTGGCACAGTCATCGATATTCTGACTGCAGCTCTCGCCGGTCCAGCCATTGACACACACACAGCTGTGGCCACCCAGAGTGTTGAAGCAGGTGCCCCCATTGTGGCAAGCGTTGGGCTGCAACTGACATTCATCCACATCCTCCGTGCAGAATTGGCCTGTGGCACATAGACACAGCAGTCCACACCCGCTGCATACCCACCCAAGGTCTGCCACCTGGATCTCTTCAGCCCTGCTGCTCACCTGTCCATTCAGGAGGGCACTGGCAGTTGTAGGTGTTCACGCCATCCACACATGTCCCCCCATTTAGACATCGGTGCCCTGGACAGTCGTCCACATTGACTTCACAGTTCTGGCCCTCGAACCCTAGCAGGGGAGGAAAGCAAAGACAGTCACTGCCAGGCGGCCCGCTGTCCCTGCACTCCTGCCACCTCCCCAGGGCACAGCGTCCTCACCAGGAAGGCAGGCACAGTCATAGGTGAGATCGCCACTCTGTCTGCATGTGCCCCCGTTACGGCACGGTGAGGGGGCACAGGGCACGGCAGCGTTCTCACACAGTGGCCCCGTGTAGCCAGCTGGGCACTGGCAACGGAAAGAACCAGGCGTGTTGAGGCAGGTGCCACCGTGGCGGCAGGGCCCTCCCACCCGGCACTCATCCACATCGCTTCGGCAGCTGCGGCCCTGGTAGCCAGGCGGGCAGGAGCAGATGTACCGGCCATCGGGCCCCACCGAGCAACGGGCACCATGGGTACAGGGGCTGCTGAGGCAGGGGTCCGGCAGGGAACAGTCGGGACCTAGAGGGACCAGAAGAGGGTGAGCTTGGGCTGTTCACATGCTTGAGTGGCTTGGGCTTCCCTCCAGACCATCCCTTACCTCGGAAGCCACGGGGGCAACGGCAGGAGAACCGGGCGGTGCCTGCCACCACGGAGCTCTGGCAGACGCCCCGGCCAGCACAGGGACCCGAATGGCAGGGGTCTTCCAGCTGGCATCGCTCACCCACCCAACCTGGAGGGCACCTGTAGGCAGAGATAGCTTAGCATAGGGAAGTACTAGGGTGGTACCAGGCAGAAGCATCCCAGACACAGAGATACACACACGCGACAGCAAGAAATACACACGCAAGCAGCCCAACAATCAGGCACGCCTGTTCGTTCATGCAACCAACATTCACTGACTAACTACTGTGTTCTTAACAATAGGAATCAGTCGCAAACACATTAAAAGTCATCCCCACCCTCTTTATGCTCACAACCAAGCTGGGCAAAGAGAAGATACACAAATAATAAATGAGAGAACGTGCCAGCATGGGGTGGTAAGGGCCATGAAGAGTTCAGCGGGTTGTTGTTTTGTTTTTTAATTTTTTATTTATTTATTTGACAGAGAGAGATCAAAAGTAGGCAGAGAGGCAGGCAGATAGAGAGAGGTTTGGGAAGCAGACTCCCCGCTGAGCAGAGAGCCCAACATGGGGCTCGATCCCAGGATCCTGAGATCATGACCTGAGCCGGGGCAGAGGCTTAACACACGAGCCACCCAGGCGCCCCAGTTCAGTGGGTTTTGAGTCACGGCCCCAGGAAAGAAATGCCCATGTCCCAGAACCTGTGATTCTGACCTTATTGCGGAGGTAACTAAGTGACAGATAACAAGATGAGATCATTCTGGATTTTCCAAATGGGCCCCCAAATCCATTGGCCGAGGGAGATATGGGAGAAAGAAGAGAAGGCCAAGTGGAAGACAGAAGCAGACACAGGGTGTTGCACCCACAAGCCAAGGAGCTCCTGGAGCTGCCAGGAGGTGGAAGAGGGCAGGAAGGATTCTCTTAGAAACCCACTGCAGACTGCGGGGCTGCCAGCACCTGGAATTCAGACTTCTGACCCCCAGAACTGTGAGAATAAATTTCTCTTTTTTAAACCACCCAGTGTTTGGTGGTTTGTTATGGTAGCTAGGAAACTAGGACACAGGATGAGGGAGATGAGTAAGGAAGGAAGGAAGGCAAACATGATATTTTCGGACTGAAGAAGGTAAGGCAGAGGGGCATGGGATTGTGTAAGGAAGAGCCTTCCAGGCAGAGGGAATAGCAAATGCAAAGTCTCAGACTCCAGAAGACAACCACTCTGGCACAGACGAACTCAGAAACATACACAGATAACACAACGGGACAGCCAATTCCACATACTGGCCTGGCGAACATTCAGACCCAAATCCACAGCTCAGTCCACAGATGGGTAGCTCTCAAGTGGACAGAGAGTGTAACTCTCCCAAATCCTCCACACCTTTCCTGGAGGCACAGACAACCCTTCCTGCCACTGGGAGTAGGAGGTGGACACCAGTGCTGGTGCCCTCTGACTGGGAGAATGTCCTCCGGCCTGCAGCCCCTTCCCCAACCCCCCCAAGAAAACCTTGAGTAGGAAGGAAATAAGGCGGTTGGTCTTAAGACTGGAAACCTCCGGAGGGACACTGGCGGGGTGGGAGGGAAGGGTTTAGACTGGCAAGAGAGTCCAAGGTCCCGCCCCGACGCTGCCCACCCCTGGCGCGTTCCCTCCCTCTGGCTCATCCCAGCTACTTGGGGCTAACCTCAGGCAGCTGACTCAGTCCCTAGCGTCACCCACAAGATCCCCCACCCTGGCCCCCAGCGAAACAGGCCGGGGCACGGCAGGGCAGGGGTGCCAATGGTGTTGAGAAGGGAGGGCCAGGCTCCCAGCCCCCTTCCCAAAGCCCCGCAGGGTGAGGACGTCCGTCACGACTGCGCGCCGAGAGGGGGCGCGCTGCGCCGGGCGCGGGGGACTGCCGGTCCCACCGCCAGGCTGGGCGCGGCCGCGCGGCCCCCTCCCGACGCCCCGGGCGGGTTCCCACGCTCTGCGTCCCGCTCCCCCGCCAACCGGTCGGGCCGGTTCCAGCCTCCGCCCGCGCCCCGCCTCGCAGCCAGGGCTTTGGGGGAACCGAGAGGGGGAAGAGCACACTTGGTTGGGGGTCGGTGGGAGGGGAGGGGAGAGGAGGGGGTGCGGCGAGGACTGGGAGACAGAGACGTTGGCTTGGGAGGCTACTTTGGGGAAGAGGCTAAGGGGGGATTCGTGGAGAAGTGACATATTGGGGCGTTCCTGAAAAGACACGAGTATTTGGAACCTTGAAGGAGATTGGGGGCCCCGTGGGGAGTGATTCCCACGGCCCAGCTCGGGAAACAGCCCGCTCCACTCCGGGTAATCCGGGCTCCGGGCCGCCGCGCGCGCTGGTGATTCACCTGTTGAGGGGCGGGGCAGCCAAGGCAGCATTCACCTGTCGGCTGTATTCCAGGTGCTGAGCTCCACTGCGCAGGCGCCAGGCCCCGCGGCTCCGCCTCCCAGGTGAGTGGTTCCAGATAAGGTCACACTTTCCCCCACCCCCATCATCGCAGACTCCCAACCCGAGGAACCCGCTTGGCGAGGCTAAGTCCCCACCTGGGTGAGCCCCAGTGGGCTCCAGTCAAAGCGCGTGTGCAACTTCAAAGGGGCTCTCCGGGATCAAAAGTCACCCCGACCCGCCCAGCTTGGCACACACATTCAACTTGTTGTTGAATAAACAAATACATTAATGAATCAATCAATGGCTACTATTACTAACGACGGTATTATAAAAGGACCTACCCATTTCCCCAAAACCTTGAGACGTTCACCTTTATGGCACGTATTTCCTGTGCCCCTACTAATCATCATCATCATCTTCTTCCCTATTTATAGAGCACTTACTGCTCGCTGAGCATTACACTGAGTTCATCCCATGAAGGGTCCCTTAATCTTTACAGTCAACCCCATTAAAGAGGGACTATGATTGCCCCCATTTTCCAGATGCAAAAACTGAGGTTCAGAGAGCTCAAAGCACTTGCTCAAGGTATCCCAGAGCCCAGAATTCAAATTGAGTTCTGTCTCCCTCTGCTCAGTTCTTTCCCAGCCTCTGCTCAGCAACTTCAACTCTCTGCCTTTCCCTATATTATCTAACAAGTGAATTTTTAGCCTCTTCATGGTCACAAGCCAGGGGAAAGTGCCCCTATTTCTGAGATCCAGAGAGAAGTGACTAACCCAAAGTCACACAACAAGAAAGTGACATTGCAGAGCTGTATTACAGCCCCCCATACGCCCACCACGAAAGGTCGAGACATGGGAAGATGCAATTGGTGTGCCCACTATTGCCAAGTCATTGGTCCCTGAAGATCTGTTGATTGAATAATAACTACCTCCATCAGAGGCATTACACATTACCTCAGGCAGCCAAGAACTCTGTGAAGTGGGGTTTAATGTGCCTGTTTTCCAGACCAGGACACCAAAGCTTAAAGGGTTTAGGTCCCAGGCAGTCAGCAACACGATGTGGGATCTGAACCCCAGCCAGGCAAATTGCAGAGACCCTGCTCTTAACCTTCCTCTCTTCTTAACCCTGCTCGATTCCAATGGGGAACAAGAGGTTACCCAAGCCATACACATGTAGGAAGTGGTAGAGGCGTTGGTGGTGGACACAGAGGCAAGGGAAGAAGACAGACTACCTCCCCACACAGGACCCACTGAAGGCTCAGAGCCAGGCACTCACAGGCAGGCAGCCTCCCGGGAGGGCAGCTGGGTGCAGCGACCTCCATTCATACACGGGCTTCCATCCAGGCAAGGAGGTGCTGTGTAGGGGCAAAGGAAAGTTGGGGGTGGGGTCAGTCAGGCACCCAGGAACCCCAGCTCAGAGTGACAGAGCCCATCCTTCCCTCCCCCAGGCAACAGCTGCAACGGGCTGAGGGTGTCTCTGTGGGTGCATGGAGCCCCCGCATCCTCAGTTCCCACGGCCCCCTGCCCCGGCCCCAGCTGTTGGGGCTGCAGCTGTCCCTGCCAGCTCAAGCCCTGGGAACCACAAGGCAGGGGCGGGCAGGAGGAGGTGCTGACTTGTGCCAGATGTGGGGACTCAGGAAGCTGCCAGAATGGGGGGTGCAAAGGCAGGAAGTGAGGGTGCTGAGCGTTGAAAGGAGGTCTGGGACTGTGTGCCCAGATCCCAGGATAATGGAGAGGGCAGGGCGAGGAGGCCTGGGCCCCTGGGTCTTTGTTGGCCTGATGTTGGGCATCTGCTCCAGCTGGGCAGAGCTGTGTGGTGCTCTGGTGAGAGGGGCTAAGGCCTGTACTCCACGCCCAGCCAGCACTGGATGCTGCAGGGATAGAGTGTGGGTTGAAGGGAGGGGGAGCTGGCAGTAGGCATGTGCTGCCCGGTCCAGCGTCCCCATCCCTGAGGGCTGTGTCCCTCTGGGGCGTGGCAGTCTAACTGTCCTGCCAGACTGGTCTGTGCCAGACACGGCTGGGTGTGAGCTAGTGGAGAACTGTGTATGCCGGCAGGTGTGTGGCCTCTGTGTGTGTGTCACAGATGGAGAGATGGAAAGAGATGGAGGGAGATAGAGAAAAACGGAGACAGACCCAAGGAAACTAGAAGCAGGCCGACACAGAGAGGAGGCAGAGAAGTGCAGAGAGAGAGAGGGAGAGACACACAAGTTGAGCTGGACACGCTAAGAGGACAACATGGCACATGTCCCCTTCCTCAGGGGACAGGGAGAGACAGGACACCATCGCCCAGACAAGGGCCCGTGGGTGTTTGGGAACTCACAGTAGGAGCCACATGACACAGACTGCCAGCCTCACGGAACAGTGGGCCATGTGAGCCATGTGTGCGTGTGCTCGAAGTACATGCATGTACAAGTGCCTGCGCCATCTGTGTGTGCACTGGGTCTGTCGTGGGTGCCCATGCACGTGAGCCCCGTTCATATGGTACACAGCTGTGTGTCTCTGCGTCCAGTGTATTCTCAGGTCTGTCTGTGTATGGGTTGGGTGTGCCTCTCTGCATGTACTACACTGGGTGCAGGCATGCCTTGGATCTGTGTGTGTCTGAATGTACGCAGGCAGCGAGTACAAGGCTCTGGGCTGCTGATCCTTGGTGTGTATGAACATGTGTAATTGTATGTGCAAGTATGTTAGTGTGCGGGTTGCGTATCCACTGTGCGGGTGTAGTGCGTGTGCGTGTGTGTGTGCACGTCTCTAGCTTCCTGTGTGACCCCGGGCTGTGTGTGCCTCCGATTGTGTGACAGGCCATGTGTGTGTGCGCGCTGGCCCCGCGGGGGCGGCAGCTCCTGCCCCAACCTGCCCCGTCGGGCACCGGGCTGGGCGGTGCAGGCCCTTCCTCCCCAGCGCCGAGCCCCACAGCGGCTCCCCGGGACCCAGGGCCAGGGGCGTTCGGCCAGTGTCCCTCTTCCGCCGGCCAGGCCTCCCTTGGGGGTGTGCGCCCCCGCAGCCCCCGCCCAGGCCCCGCCGCCCGTCCCGCTTTGTCTGGCAAAGAAAGCGCGAGGCCGGCCCGGGGGGGAGGGGGTGTCTAGACGGCGCGGCCATTGTCCCAAGCGGGGGAAGGGAGAGCGGGGAGGGGGAGGGGCGGGGGGCCCCGGCCGGCTGGGGAGGGGCTCGGGCTGCGGAGACGGGGCGCTGGAGCTGGAGAGGAGCACGTGGGCTCGCGCCCCCCGCCCTCCCTTTCCCTCCCCTCGCGGGGGCGGGGTCCCGTGGCCTCCCGGTCCCTGCGGCCAGGGGAGGGAGCGGGGCCGCGGGCGGGGAAAGGGGCGCGGGCGCCGATGTGCCTCCAGCTCCGATTCCGGCTCCGGGTCTTGCCGCGCTCCGGCCTGAGAAGTTTTTCCCCGAGTTCGGAGCTCCGAGAACTTCGCGCCCCCTCCCCGTCCTCCGCCCGGCCAGGCCAGCCCTGGGTGTGTAGGGGGGCTTTTGTGCAAGGGGTCCCCAACCTGGGGGTATTGGGCTTCAATCGTGACTTTCCCAAGACTGTAGACCGACGTGCATTGGGAGCGAGCCCCAGACTCTTGGTCCCCCTGATCTTGCGTCCCTGATCGCCGCACCTCAAGCTCCCACTCCCTCATTCCTGGGTCCCTTCATCCGCAACTCTAATCGCTCCGGGGCCCCTATTCTTCGGACCTCTGGGGACCTGCCCCCTCCCCCCACTGAGCCCCTGTGCCCCCGGGACTGGCACGTAGCCCCCGAGCTCCTGCTCCCTGCCCTCGCTCTAGTCCTTGTCTTCTAGACCAGCTCCCCAGTCCCAGACTCGGGGGTCCTTAAACTCCGCTCTTACCCTCCCCCAACCCACCCACCCAGTCCCGCCCGCTAGGTCCCAGCCCCTCACCTGCAGCCCCGGGCCCCGCTAGCAGTAGCAACAGGGGCAGCGCCCGCACGGGCGGCAGTGGTGGCGGCGACATCGGGCGACGGCGGCGGCGGCGGCCCCGGGTCCCCGGCCCCATGGCGGCAGGCCGCGACCCTCCCTCCTCCCTCCTCCCTCCTTCCCTGGGCTCCGGGCGCGTCCCGGGCCAGCCTCCGCGCCGCCAACTTCGCCAAAGTGAGGCTGCCGGGCCGCCCCGCCCCCAGCCTTGGGCGGCTCGCCCCGCCCCGGGGCCGGCCCTGAGCTCCCCCGCACCCCCCACCCCTACCCCCCACCCGGCCTCCCGGGGTCCCTGCCCACCCTCCACCCACACAGCCTGGGACCCGCAGACCCTAGGAAATTCAGGCCGGCCATGCGGTGAAGCGTGGGTTGAATCCGCAGTGACAGACACACCGGCTTCGTGAACACCCTGGCTCCCAGCGCACACTCAGAGCCCGGGACACACACAGAGCCAGGGCGCAAACACAGACCTCCAGATACCCCAAAACTGAGGCCAAGCACGTCCTGAGTGGCTCATGCACACACAGCTACCACGCACAAATGCAGACGCATGCCCAGAGCTTCATGGGGACTTAACGTATAAAACAAACCCGAAGCTCAGGCCCAGCCAGGCCTTGAGCCGGGGGCAGCGTCTGCAGCCTCAGACCTCAGACACACATTAGGAAGGAGCCTCATGCATGTGGGCAGACACACACACACACACACACACACACACACACACACACACACACCCCTTCTTACTCTCAGCTCTCCTAGAAAGCTCCTTACTACCCTGTGTGAACTCCAAAGGTCCATCCCAGCCCCCAGCCCCACCCAAACAAACCCTACGCAGCTTTGCTGCTCAGCCTGGCAGTTCCATCAACCGCCTTTTCCAAAATCAGTCCTGCTGATTTTGGATCAACTGCCTTTTCCAAAATCAGTTCTGCTGCAAAGCCACGGAGCAGCCCATTCTGTCCCTGTGGCGATAGTGGGGACTCCAAAAGACCCTAAGCCCAGCCCTGGAGGGGCCCTCAGTCTGCGGGAGGAAAAGTTGGACAGAGAACACTGCCCCCACCCCCAGCCCTCAGGGTTCAGAGCTGGGCCAGAGGGACAGCGTCTGGGAAGGCAGAGTCTGGGAAGGGTACATAGAGGGGCTGGTGAGGGCTCGGCCTGAGAGTAGTTACTTACTTGTTCATTCATTTATTCAATGAGTAGGTATAAAACTCCAGTCCTATATCTGACTTTGTTCCAGGGGCTGGAGGTACACCTTGCTCCTCCAGAGAGGGCTTCCCAGAGGGGGGCCCAATGGAGCTCAGCCAGGACAGATGAATTAGAGGGAAAACATCCCAGCAGAGACACAGGTCTGCAGCCACAGGAGGGAGCAGAGAAAGGAGAAGGAGTGGACAGGCCAGGGTCACACTGGCCTAGAGGAGGAGGAGAAGGAGGCCAGACTGCCTCCCTGGTATTTGGCTTGCTGGTAAGGCTGCAGGGGGAGGAATGGTCTGGGGGGTGAGATGCTGAATCCGTGGACCCTGGGAGTCACCTATGTGCAGCTGAACACTGGGGCTGAGCACAGGGAAGCCATGGTGGGAGATAGTCACAAAGGCACCCCGAGATCTTCAGGCAACTTTTAACCTTTTTATTTTAAAATAATTCCAAGTGTTGAAGAACACAATTTCCATATTTCCTTTGTCCAGATTCACCAACTCTTTCCACACTTGGCCACATTTGCTTTATAGATATATGTGGACACACACACATACCTATCTATGTGTCTTTTTTTATTTTTTTGAGTTTTTATTTGTTTTGAGAAAGTGAGAGAGCCTGCACAAGCAGGGGGAGGGGCAGAGGGAGAGGGAGAAAATCCCAAGGAGACTGCCCGCTGAGCACCTCTCCACCCACAGATCAGACCAGAGAGCTGGAACGAAGAGTCCGGATGCTCAACCAACTGAGATCCAGGTGCCCAGTTGTGTTTTTAGTTTTGAGAGCAGATCGCAGATGTGATGTTCCTTGACCCCCTAATACACCACTGTGTGTTTTCGGAGCATGAGCGCATTCTCTTACCCAAACAGACCATGGCTGTCACCCTTAGTCTGTGTTCCAAGTTTTCTGTTGCCCCAGTAGCATCTTCGATAGTATGTTTCTTTGCTGGCCCAGGATCCAATCCCTGACCATGTGTTTCATGAACTGGTCACGTCTCTTGGTGCCCTGTAATCTGAATCAGTTACTCAGCTTTCCCCCATCTTCTGTGATATTAATATTTTCAGAGTGGAGATCACCCATTTCACAGAAAGTTCCCAGTGAGCCTGCCTGCTGTTTCCTCCTGACCTGGTTCATTCAGGTGTGTGTCTTTGTCTGTCTCTGTCTTCATCACAGAGGTGATGCTGCCCCCCCCCACGATGCCTCATACCCGGAGGTACCTGACATCAGTTCCCAACATCGGTGACATTAGAATTTTATCACTTGAGTGAAGTTGGCCAGGTTTCCCAGGTTTCCCTACTCTTGAGGTACCATTTTCTTCCCATTCCTCCTCCCATAACAAATTGATATCAATATCATGTGGGGAGATACTTTGAGATGATGTGAATATCCTGGTGCCCATCAAAATTTCCCCCTGCTGGTTCTGGCATGGACTGATTTCCTCTGAGGTTTTTTTTTTACACTGAGATAAAATTCACATACTATATAATTAACCACTTACCATTTTATTTTTTTTAATATTTTATTTATTTATTTGACAGACAGAGATCACAACAAGTATGCAGAGAGGCAGGCAGAGAGAGTGGAGGAAGCAGGCTTCCCTGCTGAGCAGAGAGCCTGAGGTGGGGCTCCATCCCAGGACCCTGAGATCATGACCTGAGCTGAAGACAGAGGCTTAACCCATGAGCCACCCAGGCGCCCCAACCACTTACCACTTTAGAGTGTAAAGTTCAGAGACCTTTAGTTCAAGCATCACCTCTATTGACTTCCAGGACACTTCCATCACGCCTAAAGGAAGCTCCTTCCCCAAAGGCAGGCACACCCAAGCCTCCTCTCCCAGCCCCTGGCAGCCACCGGTCTGCCTTCTGACTCTAAGATTTGCCTGTTCTAGATATTTTGTGTACATGGAGTCAGTGTGGGGCCTTCTGTGTCTGGCTTTTGTTTCACTCAGCCTCATGTTTTTGGGGGTTCTCCATGTAGCATCATTCTTTCTCGTGGCCAACTAATATCCCATTGAATGGCTATACCATATTTTGCTTATCCATTCACCCATTAATATGTGTGATGATTTTTTAAAAGATTTTATTTATTTGTTTGACAGAGAGATAGAGAGTACAAGTAGGCAGAGTGGCAGGCAGAGGGAGAAGCAGGGCCCCCGCCGAGCAGAGAGCCCAATGCGGGGCTCCATCCCAGGACCCTGGGAACATGACTCCATGACCTGAGCTGAAGGCAGCTGCTCAACAGACCGAGCCACCCAGGAGACCCGAGGTGATTTCTTTTTTTATGATTTTTTAAAAAATTTATTTATTTGAGAGAGAGAATGGGAGAGAGAGAGAGAGCACAAGAAAGGGAGGGTCAGAGGGAGAAGCAGACTCCCTGCTAAGCAGAGAGTCTGATGTGAGACTCAACCCCAGAACCCCTACCTGAGCAGAAGGCAGTCACTTAACCAACTGAGCTACCCAGGCATCCCCTCCACCCGGTGATTTTTTTTTAAGATTTTATTTATTTGACAGAGAGAGACACAGCAAGAGAAGGAGTACAACCAGGGGGAGTGGGAGAGGGAGAAGCAGGCCTCCTGCCAAGCAGGGAGCCTGATGGGGGCCTGATCCCAGTACCCTGGAATCACAACCTGAGCCGAAGGCAGACACCCAGAGACTCAGCCACCCAGGTGCCCCGTGAGATGATTTTTAAATGCCTGATGAGGAAGAGGGGAAGGAGGGGGAGAAGTGCTGTTGGAAAGAACGAAGAAGCATGAAGGGCCAAGGGTGCAAGCGGAATGATTGGCTGGAGCCCGGCCTGGCCTGGCCTGGCGGGTATAGACAGGCCAGCCCAGCCCCTGGGGACAGGAACTGAGGATGCTCTGCCCCTCCCCCAGGGTCTGGCTGCTGCTCCCACGGGGAGGGAGTATCTGCCCATCTTCTGGTGACTTGCTGGAGGCTTTCTAGAGGAACTGACATTCAAACCCAGGGCTGAGTGACTCCAGGCCACACGGAGTGTGAGGGGTGGGGTGGGGTGAGGCTGGGGATTGAGCAGCGAAACGGACAAAAGTTGCACAAGAAGGGGTGCAGCTTGATTCACAGTGAGTGTGCTGAGTCAACAGGTCCTAGGGCAGGTGTGGCTTCAGTCTTTCCCCCATGCCCATCATCCCAGGAAGAAATCCAAGCCCCCTTCCCCCTTCCCTGGTTTTGCTTTCAGAGCCCTTAGCCCATCCCAGCCCTGTGCCCTCTCTAGCCCTCCCCCCATCACACTGAGTCAAACTGCCTCCTCACCCAGCAGGCCTTGCGCCCTCATAGCCTTTGCCCAGGTTCTTCCCTCGACTGAGACACCCAACGAGCTAAAAGGACCCTTTGCTTCCTTCCCCAGCAGGAACTCACAACAAATGCGTTCTCTTCAAAAATGTATTTTCTTCTAGTTATAGGGAATACTCTTATTTCCCACACATGACACCCCTTTACCCATGCAGGTCCCTCTTTCTGGCTTGCCTTCCAACTCCCCATTCCTGTATCTGGGGAACTCCTGTTTATTCCTCAAGAGTCCGACTCCAGGGGCGCCTGGGTGGCTCAGTCAGTTAAGCGTGCCTGTGGCTCAGGTCATGATCCCAGGGTCCTAGGATCCAGCCACATAGGATCCCTGCTCAGCAGGAAGTCTGCTTCTCCCTCTGACACCACCACCCCCATGCTCTCTCTCTCTGAAAAAAATAAATAAAATCTTTAAAAAGGAAAGAAGGAAAGAAAGAAAGAAAGAGAGAAAGAAAGAAAGAGAGAGAGAAAGAAAGAAAGAAAGAAAGAAAGAAAGAAAGAAAGAAAGAAAGGAGGTTTCTGTTCTAGGAAGGCCTCTCTTCCCCTGCAGGCAGAGCTCCCCTGGGCTTTCCCAGCATCCTCCTTCTGTCTCTCTCTGCCTTAT